TTGCAGGCATGCACCACCACACCCAGCCAATTTTGTATTTTTAGTAGAGACGGGGTTTCTCCATGTTGATCAGGCTGGTCTTGAACTCTCAACCTCAGGTGATCTGCCTGCCTCGGCTTCTCAAAGTTCTGGGATTACAGGCATAAGCCACTGCGCCCGGCCACGTCATGATTTCTGAAACCTTCGAGGGCTTCCCCACTGACAGCAGAGTACAGTTTAACTCAGCCCTGGGCGTCCCGGGCCCTCTTTACTGGGCCTGTTCTTGAGCTGTCACCGTTTCCTCTGTCTGTCCCCTTAACTCCCTGCCTTTGTGCCTTTGCTCACACAATTCCCTCTGCCTGCTTTTCCCTCCAAAGCAGTCTCCACATGCCCAGGTCCTGTCTGACTTTCAAGGGCCAGCTTAGTTCCCATCTTTGCACTGCCCCCTGACCTTCCTGGCTTCTGTGTCTATTTCTCTGTGCTGACATTTGGGGATTTTTACATTGTATATTAGGAATCTGATTACTCACTGGGCTCTGGGCTCCTTCTGGGCAAAGTCTTTGTACTGCTTACAGCCCCTGATTTGTTAGATGTGTGCTGAGTGAGTGAATGAGTAGCCGCTCTCTTCATGGTGGGATTGGAAGTTTGGGGGTCAGGCAGGGCCTGTTAGACATCTGTGAATGTACCCTAGTGCCTGACGCCGGACAGACCCAGCTTCGAAGTAGGAATACAACAGTCATGTGTCTTGAGGCCAAGGCCCTGGGCTGAGTGCTGTGTGCAGTTCCTTGCATCCTTGAGAACCCATGACACAGCAACTCTGATTCCCTTTTACAGATCAGGAAGCAGAGCAAATGCCTTATCTAGATCATACCTCCAGCAGTGGAATCTGGACACAGGTGTAGCTGCCCCTGTAACTCCTATATTTAATCAGTTTATTTTGCCACCTGCCCCATGTCGCAAGTAACACCAGTACCCTTGACCTGTTCTTATTACCTGTCCCACTGGCCACAGACAATCTTGTTTTCTTATTTGAGTATATATTTATTCCCCTTTAGACCATTAGCTCTTAAAGGGTCAGAGTCAGTCTTGTCTGAGATGCTGTTTGAACTTAGCACATAAAAGGTGCTCAAAGGTATTTTTTTTTTTTTTTTTTTGAGAGTCTCACTCTGTTGCCCAGGCTGGAGTGCAGTGGTGCCATCTTGGCTCGCTGCAACTTCCTCAGCCTCCCAGGTTCAAGCGATTACCCTCTCTCAGCCTCTCCAGTAGCTGGGGCTACAGTCATGCACCACCATGCCCAGCTAATTTTTTGCATTTTAGTAGAGACAGGGTTTCACTCTATTGGCTAAGATGGTCTTGATCTCCTGACCTCATGATCTGTCTGCCTCGGCCTCCCAAAGTGCTGGGATTACAGGCGTGAGCCACTGCACCTGACTCATTTTTAAACTTTTTAATGGAGGTTTAGGTGTACAAATCTTGGATGTACAGCTTGCCGGGTTTTTACATCTCTAAGTACCTGTGTAAACTGCCTAGATGAAGCCACACAATGGTTCCAGCACCCGAGGAAGCTCCCTGGAGCCCCCTCCTGGCCACTTGCCCTCCCTTGGTTGCCCCACTCACACCTCAGCGCTTTCGTGTGGCTCGCTGCCTGTTTGGGCCTTCCACGCACGGAGTGTACAGAACGGACTCCTCGGTGTCTATCTGCTTTCCCTCAGCGCTGTCAGTGAGGTCATCCAGGTGCCTGTAGTGGCCCGTTGGTTTTTTTTCTTTGCTGCTTAGGAGTTCAGCAAATATACCACTGTTTATTCATTCTCCTGTGGACAGACATTGGGTCATGTCCAACTTCTTCGGTAAAATTCATTCTTGTCTTTGAGGGTGCATGTGCGCTTATTGCTGGGTATACACCCAGGGTGGGTTGATGGCCTACCTGACTCCGTATGTGTTTACATGAATGAAATTCGGGTTGGGATTAGAAATTCAGGGTGTCCTGGCTGGAGCTGGGCTTCTTGCTTATAGGGATGGAGCAGGTGCAGGGGTCTCAGCTTAGACAACCTGCTCCCGTGGGGCAGTAGGACTGTTGAGGCTCAGGCTTCTGCATCTGCAGGGGATCTGCTGGTCGGTGCCCGGTGGAATTTTAGCCGGCTGGAAAGGTGGTCACATGTAGAGGGGCTCAAAAGTCCAGCTAAAGAGGCAGAGTATTGGTCCATTGTTCTCAATTTGAGAGAAAACTGACATGATCAAAATTAGGACTGGTATGTACTAAAGAAAAAGACCTAATTACAAGGCTAAATTGAGTAAGCCCTCGATGAGGGACTTTGGATTTCTTTGTTGCTCCCCTTTATTTCTGCACCCTCACCCAAGTGATAGATAGTACACAATTGGATGATTTTTCTTTCCTGGTTGAGAGATTCCTGGGAACTTGGCCCCAGGAGAAGGGGAGAAATGTGGAGCTGCTGGAGGGGCCTTGGCTTGTTTGTGTTGATTGAAGGGGAGAGGGAAGGAGATCTGTGAACCCCTGCCCCCTTGTAAGGGCATGTGATCCTTTTCAAAAGGCTCACCAGGCAAAACTGCTTAGCCAGTGGCCGCTCTTTCCCTCTAATCCCCTCTGGAGAAGGGCCAGGCTGTGGGTTGCTGACCTCTGATGTGGATCAGCCTCCCCCGACAAGGCAGCCGTCCAGAAGCTCAGAGAGCCCAGGCAGCCCCCAGGGGCAGGAGAGCCGGCTGTCATTCCCGTTGCCGTTCCCAGGTGGCTAGAGTGGGAGCGAAGTGGTCAGTTTGGAGGAAAGTGCTCGAGTCTGACTCCAACCAGCGAATTATGGTAAGATGGAAGTTTCTCCATCTATGTTAAATAAGAGAACAAAAGCCCTCCCAGGCTGCATGAATATTCCAGGGATGTACTTGCGAACGTGATGCCAGTTTAGCTTGGCCCGTGGGTGGCAGCTGCCTGAGTGAGCACTTCGTGGCTGCAGTTCTAAAGGGTTTGGATCTGAAACTAATGAATGAAAATATGACCTCAGAAGGTTTAAAGAGAGAGACACCTAGCGACAGGACCAGCCTGGGTCCCAGAGATTGTGGGGAGCATGAAATTCCAGGCTGGCCGAAGGAGTAAGTGGGAGAGCAACAGCAGCTGATGTCACATGGTGCCAGTACCTTCTCAGTGCTGTCTGTGTTCACTCATTATTCCTCATCACGTTCTCAGAGGCAGGTATGGCTGTGCCCCATTTTACAGATGAGGAAGCTGAGGCAAGGAGAGGTTGTGTAACTTGCCCACGGATACAAAACTAGCACACCCAAATTATCTTACAGTTTTGGAGGTTAGAAGTCCAAAATGTGTTTCACTAGGCTGAAATCGAGGTGTCGGCAGGACCGCCTCTTCCTGGGGGTTCTAGGATAAAATTATTTCCCTACCTTTTCCAGATCCTAGAAGCTACCTGCGTCTGTGATTTGTGGCCCCTTTCGCCATCTGCAAGGGCAGCAGCGTAGCATCTTCCGCTGTCTTCTCTCTGGTTCCTTTGCCACACTGCCCTCTTCTCACTGTCTCCCTTCTGCCTTCCTCCTATGAGGACCCTTGTGATTACATGGGCCCACCTAGGTTGTCCAGGATAATCTCTTATTCAGGACCCTTAACTCAATCACTTTTGCAAAGTTCCTTTTGCCATGTAAGGTAGCATATTCACAGGTTCAGGGGGCTAGGATGTCGACATCTTTGGGGGATTATTTTTCAGCCCACACAGAGCACATAATAAAATCCATGGGCGGCGGGGATAGCAGCAGTAAGGTGTCCCTCAAACCTGAGTTAAAATGACTCTGATGATAGAATCTGGGTGAGATGGTGGGATGCTCCTGAAATAAACTCTAAGGCAGGTGGCCAAGTTCAGTGACGACATAGCTGCATGGCTTATCTGAAAAAGGAGGATATCTCTGATGGGGGGCCAGCTGGAAGATGTATTTCCTGGAAGAGGAAGGGGATGGGGCAGTGTTGGGAGAAGTGAGACTTTGGGTCCCACGGCCAGCTCCTGCCACATTCTCAGTGGATTTCAGGTTGGGAGGAGGGATACCGTCATAGTTGAAAATTAGCATAGAAATAAACCATACTCGACGTCTGCTTCCTCAACCATCAGCCTCCATACAGTTCTGGAGGACTGTCCAGGCCCACATCTGCTTTTCTACTGTTCTAGAATCCGAATGCTCAGAAATCCCAAAGGTTCTTCCTGAGTCTGCAGCAGACTAATTTCTGCTGCAAAAATCTGACCTGAATTGATGTAATACTAATTATGGCCTTTAAAAATATCTCACCTAGGGTGACTAACCATATGTTTTCCTATGGAGGTGCTATGTGTTTGATTTTGGGGTGCTGTACCCCCCTTCCAGGAGTGTCACTGTGTCTAGCAGCAGAATCCTTTCTGAAGTCTGAACAATTAGGCCAGGCACAGGGGCTCTTGCCTGTAATCCCAGTACTTTGGGAGGCTGAGGTGGGTGGATCACTTGAGGTCAGGAGTTTGAGACTAGCCCGGCCAGCCTGGTGAAACCCTGTCTCTACTAAATATACAAAAATTAACCAGGCATGGTGGCTTATGTCCGTAATCATAAGCTACTAGGAAGGCTGAGGCAGGAGAATCACTTGAACCTAGGAGGCAGAGATTTTAGTGAGTCAAGATTGCCTCTGTACTCTAGCCTGGGTGATGGAGGCACACTTAGTCTTAAAAACAACAACAACAACAACAATAACAACAACAACAACAAAACACACAAAAACTTGGCATCTTCCAGTTAAAAAAAAAAAAGAAGAAGAAAGAAAAATTCGGAATTGGGTTCAAGCAATTCTCCTGCCTCAGCCTCCCTAGTAGCTGGAATGACAGGCACCTGCCACCATGCTCAGCTAATTTTTAGTATTTTTAGTAGAGACGGGGTTTCACCATGTTGGCCAGGCTGGTCTTGAACTCCTGACCTCAGGTGATCTGCCTGCCTCGGCCTCCCAAAGTGCTGGGATTGCAGGCATGAGCCACTGTGCCCGACCAAAATTTTGAAAAATTCTAAATTCTTAAACTCATTTGGTCCAAAAGCCTTAGCTACAGGACAGTGCACCTGGACTCTTCTCCCCAAGAATCAGTCGGAGAGGTCCAGTCACCTGTCTCATGCCCAGCTCAGGTGACAGCACCGAGGTTCCAACTCAGTTCCGTGTCTCAGAGCCTGGGACAAAGTGCAGACTGCGTGGCCTGGCCTCTCTGTCACCTGCTGGGTGGCGTGTGGGTGGGAGACAGATGTGGAGTTAATGTGCTCACTGGCAGGTACGCTGTATGTGAGGAGGTGGGGGGTTCTTGAGTTGGTTTTCTGTCTGATCTGCAGCCTGGAACTGAGCAAGGGGGCCTTGGCTGGGGAAGGGTAGAGAAATTGTAGAGGAGAGGGAAATAGCAGCAGCCATTAGGAACCTTGGGCCTTTGCCCATCACCACAGCACTACTCTCTGAACTTCCTTTGATCACACAGCCCTATCTGTAAACAAGAAACCAAAACAAAACGTTTTGAGCACGCACCCCCAATATGTGGATATTGGTGTAATTATAAGTATATATTATATTACTACAAGTATACACATATATTACTTTACTGTTTCACAGTGTACATAATAAAACCTACACCAAAAAACAGAAACCAAAGGCCAGGCTAAAGATGTAATAGTTCAAAAATATTTTTACTTTGTTGATGGTACGAAAACCTCTTGGTTTCATACACACAGTCATTTTGGGGACGCGTGGTTTCGTGCTCAGCGAGAGAGCGTTTGGAAGGTCTGGCTCCACATTCAGTTTGTTCAGAGACTGGGTGTTAATGGCTGCTTTCCCTGCAAAAGATCCTGTCCAGGACAGGAAGCTGCGCACGGAGCGGACGCATCGCTGGCTTTCCTTCTAAATCGGGTTACTCATTTTTCCATCCTGTCCACTGAGTATGCAAAGGATTTGTGGAAATTTGGCTAGTACATTTCCATCCTCCCTGGTGCCAGTCAGATGTTTTTGTAAACGAAATGGAAGGTATTTTATTTTAAAATTCTTAACAAGTGAGTCCAAAACCTGCTCAAATGCTTTGGAAAATTTTTAATGGACTAGAAAATTCTGTTACATAGCTTTTTAGGAGTTCAGCTATGAGAGGATTTTTTGTTTTGTTTTTCTTTTTAAAATCAGTGACAGACATATTGTTTTTGGTAGCAGACTCCTGTGAGGGCAGAAACATTTCCAGACACACTTTTTCTGAATGTTCTGCCCTAGCCTATGTTTCTTTAAAAAAGCAGTGTCTTTCTCACTTACTGTGATACGTGGCTTTCCTGTGAAAGGACGTTAAGCATGCTTCAAGATGTTTTGAAAAGACAGCCAGGAGGCGTATCTCTGATAGCCAGTCATCACAGAAGAAGATGGGCACATTTGGAACACTTTTTTTTTTTTTTTCTAGACAGAGTCTTGCTCTGTGGCCAGGCTGGAGTGCAGTGGCACAATCTTGGCTCACTGCAGCCTCCACCTCCCGGGTTCCAGCAATTCACCTACTTAGCCTCCTGAGTATCTGGGACTATAGGTGTGTGCCACCATGCCCAGCTAATTTTTCATATTTTAGTAGAGACGGTGTTTCACTGTATTGGCTAGGATGGTCTGGAACTCCTGACCTCATGATCCTCCCACCTCGGCCTCCCAAAGTGCTGGGATTACAGGTGTGAGCCACTGTGCCTGGCCACAGTTTTTTTTTGTTTTTTTTTTTTTTTTTTAATGAAAGAAAAATGTGTAACTCTGTTGTTAGGTTTGACAGTTCTTATTTTCTTAGAGACGGGTGTTGCTCTGTCACCCAGGCTGAAGTACAGTTGTGCCATCATGGCTTACTGCAGCCTTGACTTTCTAGGCTCAAGCAGTCCTCCTGCCTCCGCGCTCTGGAGTAGGTGGGACTTCAGGAGTGTGCCACTACATGCAGCTAATTTTTTTTATTATTTGTAGAGATGAGGTCTTGCTTTGTTGCCCAGGCTAGACAATTCTTGTTGATTGCTTTCCTACAAGATAACCAATACATCTCTGATACAGACTGAGTCCCTCCCTTTCCTGCTACAGATTTCATAGAAAAAAATCTACTGTTCTACTGTGTAAAGCTTTTTTTTTTTTTTTTTTTTTTTTTAGTTCTGGGATATATGTGCAGAATGTGCAGGTTTGTTACATAGGTGGACATATGCCGTGGTAGTTTGCTGTACCCATCAACCAATCTACATTGGGTATTTCTCCTAATGCTATCCCTCTCCTATCCTCCCACCCTCACTAAAGCTTTTTATTATGGAAAATTTCAAACACACAAAACTGGAACAAATAGTTTAATGAATTTTTCTACCTCTCTGTCACCCAGCTTTCACAGTTAGTTAACATTGTGCAATCTTGTTGCATCTTTCCCTGCCCTCCCCAGAGATCATGCTGTTTTTCATCCTCAAGTATTTCAGTATGCATCTGTACTTGATGACTTGTTAAACTTTGTATTTTGAAATAATCGTGGACTCTCTAGGCGCAGTGGCTCATGCCTGTCATCCAACACTTTGGTAGGCCGAGGCTGGCGGATCATGAGATCAGGAGTTCGAGACCAGCCTGACCAACATGGTGAAACCCTGTCTGTATTAAAAATACAAAAATTAGCTGGGCATGGTAGTGCATGCCTGTAATCCCAGCTACTCAGGAGAGTCAGCTAGGAGAATCGCTTGAACCTGGGAGGTGGAGGTTGCAGTGAACCGAGATTGTGCCGTTGCACTCCAGCCTGGCAACAGAGTAAGACTTTGTCTCAAAAAGAAAAAAAATTGTAGACTCACAGGAAATTGCAAAAATAGAATCTAGGGTCCTGTGTGCCCTTCACCCAGCTTCCTCAAAGGGTGACTTCTAGATTGGCTGTAGTACGGTATCAAAGCCAGGAAGTGGACAGTAACAGTATTACTGACTGAAGCACAGACCTTCTTCAGTGTTCAGTGTTTTTACATGGAGGCTGTACGTGTAGTTCTATTGAATTTTATCATATGTAGATTCATGTAACCACCACCACTGTTTCATCACCTGGAAGGAACTCCTGTGCTACCCCTTTAAATTTACACATCCCCTACCCATTGCTGTCACTGTCCTGTGCCAGTTACTACACCATGCTCCATCTTTATAGCTTTGTCATTTTGAGAATGTTACATAAATGGATCATGCAGTATGCGACCTTTTGAGATTGGCTGGTTTCACAAAACGTCATGCCCTTGAGATCCATCCAGATCGCCTGTGTGTATCAGTAATTAGTTCTTTTTTCTTGCTGGGTACCATTCCATGGTTAAACCAGAGTTTAACCTTTTGCCTGTTGAAGGACATGGGTTCTTTACAGATTTTGATGATTACAAATACAGCTGCTGTGAACATCTGTGTGCAGGTTTTTGTGTGAACATATTTCATTCCTGTAGAATAAATGTCCACAGTGATGACTGGGTTGTGTAGTAAATGCACGTTAGTTTTATAAGAAACTGCCAAACTTGTTTTCCATGGTGGCTGCACCATTTTATCTTCCTACCAGCAATGTATGGGAGATCGGGTTTCTCTGCATCCTTGCCAGCATTTGATATTGTCAGTATTTTTTAGTTTATATTTTTTGGTATGCAGGTGTGGGACATGAAGGTGTTTTCAGTTTGCATTTCCTTAATGGTTAATGATATTTAACTTCTATTCATGTACTTTTTTTTTTCTGAGACAGAGTCTCACTCTATCACCTAGGCTGGAGTGCAATGGCCAGATCTCAGTTCACTGCAACTTCCACCTCCTGGGTTCAAGTGATTCTCCTGCCTCAGCTTCCCGAGTAGCTGGGATTACAGATGGGCACCACCATACCTGGCTAATTTTTAGAGACAGGGTTTTGCCATAGTGGCCAGACTGGTCTCAAACTCCTGGCCTTAAGTGAGCCACCTGCCTTGGTCTCTCAAAGTGCTGGGATTACAGGAGTGAGCCACCGCACCCGGCCTCATGTGCTTGTTTGTTGTGTATCTCTTCTTTTCTGAGATGTCTGTTCATGTCTTTTTCCCATTTTCAAGTGGGATTGTTTGGTTTTCTATTTAACATGGAGCTTTTTTTTTTTTTTTTTTTTGAGACAGATTCTGGCTCTGTCCCCTAGGCTGGAGTGCAGTGGTGCAATCTTGGCTCACAGTAACCTCTGCCTCCTGGGTTCAAGCGGTTCTTCTGCCTCAGCCTCCTGAGTAGCTGGGATTACAGGCGCCTGCCACCACACCTGGCCAATTTTTGTTTTTGTAGCAGAGACTGGCTTTCGCCATGTTAGCCAGGCTGATCTTGAACTTCTGACCTCAGGTGATCCCGCCCACCTTGGCCTCCCAAAGTGCTGGGATTACAGGTGTGAGCTACCGCACCCAGCCTGTGGAGCTTTTCAAGCATTCTTGATAGATTCCCAATGCTAGTTATTTACCAGATCTGTGGCTTGCAAATAAATATATTCTTCCACTCTGTGGCATGTTTTCTCATAATGCAAAAGTTTTTACTTTTCTTGTGGTCCAGTTTATCAACTTTTTCCTTTTATGGATCATGCTTTTGGTATCAAGACTAAGAACACTTGGCTATCTCTAGGTTTCAGATATTTTCTCCTGTCTTCTAAAGTTTTAGAGTTTTACATTTTACATTTAAATCTGTGATTTATTTGAATTAATTTTTGTATATGGTATAAGGGTTTAGGTTAAGGTTTATTATTTATTTATTTATTTTTGACATATTGCCTAGGCTGGAATGCAGTGATGCGATCTCAGCTCATGGTAACCCCTGCCTCCTGGGTTTAGGTGATTCTCCTGCCTCAGCCTCCCAAATAGCTAGGGATTACAAGCACGTGCCACTATGCCCAGCAAATTTTTGTATTTTTAGTAGCGACAGGGTTTTGCTATGTTGTCCTGGCTGGTCTCAAACTCCAGGCCTCAAGTGACCCACCCAACTCGGCCTCCCAAAGAGCTGGGATTACAGGTCTTCACCACCACACCTGACCAACGTTTATTATTATTATTATTATTGTTGTCGTTGTTGACTTCTGGATGTCCAGTGGTTTAGCAATATTTCTTAAGATTATTCTTCCTCTACTGACAAGGAATTTTATTTTTACATACCCACCATGCCATTATCATGCCTAAGGAAATTTACAAGAATTCCTGTGTGTTACTTATTTCAAAGATGTCTTTTAATTGTTGGTTTGTTAGCGTTAGGACCTAAACACCTTGTGTTTAGTTGTGTCCCTCAACTCTCTTATTCACTAACCTGAGCCACTTT